ATATTAAAATTTTATTTTTAAATAATTATGACAAAAAATAATTAAGTTAGATAAGGAGTTAAAAAGATTTATAAAAACTTTTTATTTAAAAAAATTCTAAAAATATATTTATGAAAAAAATAATTTTATTTAATATATAGAGATATAATTCGTTCTTTTAATATAAAATGAATGTACACTAGAAAGTAAAGGCATACACTTTATAAGAAAAAAAACCTCAAACAAAAATAAATGTAAGAGAATAAAAATGTAAAATATTTACAAAACAAAAATTATTATAGTTCATATATTGAACGAATAATTAGTAATAATTTGTTTAATGTCAAAGGATGATTAAATTATAATTTTAATAATTAATAAAAAAAATATATAAAATTAAAATTATAAATTTATTGAATTAAGAAATTAAAAATTAAAAGATTATAATTATAAATTAAATATCATAAATGTATATAAAAAAAAACTATTAAAGATAAGGATGTAAAATAACAAACCACGAATCTCCGGACTAATTTACATGCCACGATTAACAAAGGTGACCAATCCTACGACCATAAATTTGTCACGTGTAACACAAAGACCCGCCATTCTTCGGATTCACTCTCTCTCTTTAGATTTTTTTACTGGCCTCGCCTTTATCGCCAAATACCCAGTTTCACTCTCCCTCTGATTTGATTTGACACTTTTTTTTTTATTTTATTTTAAATTTTCCCTATTAGCATGTATGCTATCATCTCTCTCTGATTTGATTTCACTCTCCCTCACCCCACCCCATTTCTTCTTTCCCATATTTTCGAATTAAAATATCTAAAAAAATTGTTTTTTAAAATTTTATTTAATTGGGGTGGTGAGGAAAAAAAAATTGATTCCTGGTATCGTCGAAAATGCGGTGGGAAAAGCTTGAGGTGAAGGCGATAGGCACAGAGGGTGGAGGAGAGGTGTATGGGCCAGGGAAGCGGTGGGGACACACCTGCAACGCCGTCAAAGGTGGCAGACTCGTCTATGTCTTTGGCGGTTACGGCAAAGATAACTGTCAGACCAACCAAGTTCATGTCTTCGACACTGGTGCGTTTGCCGATTCCCATGTTATCATGTTGCAAAATATTTCATAGGTTTAAAACGGATGTGGAACTTAAAAATGTATACTTGTTTTTTTTAATGAGTGACTTTATTTTATACATTTCAAATTTTTTATGCATTTGTAGATAATGTGAGTATTGTTTATTTTGTTATTCCTCGTTTGGATTTGCAGTGAAGCAGACATGGAGCCAACCCGCTGTAAAAGGCTCCCCACCTACACCAAGGGACAGCCATACTTGCACAGCCATTGGTGATAATCTGTTTGTGTTTGGGGGCACAGATGGAATGAATCCTCTGAAGGATTTGCATATATTAGACACTTGTGAGCCATCTTTCTCATATCTAAATTATTCGCCCGCATCCTACTCGGCTAGAACAGGATTGCTTTAGTTGGAGGATAGTGTGGTCTAGACCAAATAAAATTTCACCTTTTTTTTGCCTCCAAAAGCCAAAATGTATATTTTTTTAGCTGAAGTTGAATGTAGAGCATGTGCTCGTGGTCCCAGCCTTTTATTGGATGATGACACTGGAACCTACTGCTGAAGTTAAAATTTGAGAATTTTATGAAACTAAGAGTAATGGCCTGTTTTTATCTATTTGCTGTTTGACTCAGTGGTGTTAAATTGTTGTTAGCTTCACATACATGGATTTGTCCAACCATAAGAGGAGAAGGGCCTCAGGCACGAGAGGGTCATAGTGCAGCAGTTGTTGGCAAACGGCTATTCATCTTTGGTGGTTGTGGAAAATCTGCAGATAATAATAATGAGGTCTACTACAATGATCTTTACATATTAAATACAGGTGATTCTCCCACTGCCAGTCAGGGAGCAAGTTAGTTCACTACATGATTTATTTGTCTTGATATTAAATGAGATCTCATATAGATGATAATGAAAAAACTGACTAGGGTTTTCTAGTTTGTTGATTATTTAAAAAAAAAATGGTGTTAGAATTTGAAATAATCATATATCTTGACTTGCTTGTAAAGGCTCATTATAATTGTGGTTGTGAATGAAATGAGAGTTCTTGTTTGGTTACTCATAGAGAAGTAGGAGTGTGGAGTGTGGAGATTTTGAAAATTTTAGTTGTTTTTCTATTTATTTTCCTTTTACATTTGCATTTGTGTTGAAAATTTGTCTGTTACTTCTGATTAATTGATTAGATGTAGGACATGTTACTGATAATTCCTTTTTACTCTTTCAATTGTAGAGACATTTGTTTGGAAGTGTGCTACAACATCAGGCTCTCCACCATCTCCTCGTGATAGCCATACTTGTTCATCTTGGAAAAGTAAAATTATTGTGATAGGCGGTGAAGATGGGCATGATTATTATTTGTCTGATGTCCATATCCTTGATACTGGTATTAATCTGTTTCATTTTTTTTATTTTTATTGAATTGTAATATTTGCATTATAAATATAAACTCACAATTAATTTTAAATGTTGCAAACTAAATGAGCTTTGTTCATAATATAATAATTTTCCTTGAAACTTCTTTAAATATTAGATACTCTAATTTGGAGGGAGCTGAGTACATCAGGCCAATTATTGCCACCCCGGGCTGGTCACTCCACTATTTCTTTTGGCAAGAACTTGTTTGTTTTTGGTGGATTTACAGATGCGCAAAATCTATATAATGACCTTTATATGCTCGATATTGGTATGTTTATTTAAATCTTATAAGAATACGTTTTTTGCTTTTAAGTTTTTGCCTGTGTTATATTTGGTTTAACTGCTTAATTAAAGCAGAATCTTACTGTGAGTGTAATTGCTCTGACTTATATAATTTTTGCCTTTGTTAGAATACACTTCGTAAATCTTCTGTTATGGATATGTTAATAGTCTGTTAGTTACAGCTACAATGATCAATTAGTTTTAGATTTGATGTATAAATACCCCTGATGTAATTTTGTTATTTGGGTTAATCAATTCATTAATTTCAATTCCAATAATTTAGTTAAGAATTTAGCCCTCATGGAGCAGGCAGCAGCTTTGAAGTGACTGTCTGTTGACAAGCTTATTTTTCTATACACTTCATTGACACAAAATGCTTTTTCACATTTCTTGAGTAGATATTCAATCTTTTAGGTGAAGGGAGGGCTGGGAGGCTCACATTTGTTATGTTAGCTTTTAAAGTAGGATCTTGCTCCATCTTTCGCCAACATTATTGCTTTAGTGACTTTTGTTATTTGTAATATATATGGTATTTTCTCAATTTTTAGAAAGACATGGTTAATTTGATTAATCAATTCTTGTTTGCTGTTCTGAAAGTGATAGCATGATATTTTTTTGTCAATATTGATCGAGTTGGGGTTTCTCATATCATCTTTCATTTCTGATTGAGTGTAGATACCGGTGTTTGGACAAATGTTACAACTGCAACCAATGGTCCTTCTGCTAGATTTTCTGTGGCTGGTGACTGTTTAGATCCTTTTAAGGGTGGTGTTCTTGTATTCATTGGTGGTTGTAATAAAAGTCTTGAGGCCCTGGATGATATGTATTACCTATATACAGGTTCAGCATAGTGTCATTTGTTTGCTACTATTAAATTTTCTAACATAACCTTTGGTTCTGGTATTTCTCAAGATTGTTATGTATATAACAAATTGTGATATATTTCTGACTTTTAGGGATTGCTCGGGAAAGTGAGCAGAGGCCAGAGAAGTTATCTTTAAGGAAGCAATTGAAACTGAAATGCCAAGAACAAAATCTTAATCCTAGCCAAAATCAAGTTCTAGTTAGATATGGAGTGGGTTCTGATATGGGCCAGATCATGACAGTATTGAATTATAGCCAGCCAAGTAAGAATTTGTCTTCATATTCTGATTCATGGATATCATATAGTCTAATTTTGCTCTTAAAGGCCTATGGTTTCAAACTATGATGCATGGATACTTAAAAATTGGTGACTTATCCATATTTTACCCAATACTAATTAGATACCGACATGTGTATTATGCGGTTGTCTTTGTATTGAACTTGACTATCTTATCTTCTAACCTGTTTAATGTACATTTTTTTCTTGGGATAATGAAGGAATCATTATCCAAACTTGAATATAGCCATTTTTTTGTTTTAAATTTGATTATGATTGTGCCTTTTTAATAAATTTTTCAAGAGATTAAAGACCAACAATAATATGATGATGATGACAAACCAAGAAAAATATCAGCCATGTTTAGAAAAAAAATCAATAAAATTAATAAAAATAAGAAATTTATGAATATAATTATATTTTATTTACTATATATTACCATATCTGTATTCATTTTTTTTTATATAAATTATATCATATTGTATCCTGTGCTATACCATATCTCTGCAACATAAATTTTAAACTTTTAGCCTATCAACCTTGGTATGTTGGATTCAATAAGTTCTTCAAAGTTATGTTAGGGCTTACATTCAAATATTTGGGCAACTTGGCTAAGTAAGTTTAAGGCAGCAACATGTGGTGTTCCTAGTTGAATTCTTCTTGATATTCAATTAGTCAAGTTTGTCTTCGTGTAGATCCAGTTCTTGCATCTAATATATATTGAACTTAGACATGGATTGTAACTATGGCAAGTCAGTGTTGAGTAAAATAATGATTCCTCTAAAATATGGATTTTCATCATTTATGAGCCAGGAGGATCAAGAGAGTTGAAATGATCTTTGACTATTTAGTATTTACATTTCAAAGTACCACTTGGGGACAGCTAAATATCCTCTATCATAAATGCAGGTAGACCAAATATCCCAGTAAACCAGTCCCTACCTTCTGGAAAGAAAATGTTTGAAGCCAAGGTCACTGAAAACATTTCAGAAGGATATACTATTGAAACTGTTATTGATGGAAAGCCTCTTCGTGGAATTCTGTTTGTAAACAAGCCAAACTCTCTGTACTCAGCTGCTCATACTTCCAGTAGGTACGTCTTCAGTTCTTCCCAGACCGAGTCTCACTTTTCAATCTGTTGCAAGTATTAAGCACCTGTTTCTGTATAAGTTTGTTTTAATGTATGCTTAATTCACAAAGCAGGAAAAGGACTGCTGGTGAAATTGATAATGTTGTCTCAAATGGTATGCATCCTAACCAATTAAGGACTCCGAAAGTGCTCAAGCAGAATCAAATGGAAAATAGGGAAGCATTTCGTGGAGACAGTTCTGAATCTCATGAACACCGCACTGAATCTGTTGCTGTGCTTATGGCAACTGACCCAACGACTGCCAATGTTTCTGATATCCATAAGGTGAAGTTGTTTTCTCTACTTCTGTTGGTTAGAATTCTAGAGGAAGGCCTGAGTGATGATTTCTGATTTTTTTTAATTACAGGCTGAGATTGGTCCATACTCAATAGAATTATTGTGTGAAAAAATCGACCGAGTGATTCAGTTGAGCTTTCTTAGTCTTACTGAAAGGAAGTTGGTCTTAATATTATGACTCATATTTTCATAACTTTTGTCTTAATAATTGGTAGAACTACTGAAAGCTAGAGTATATGCTGCCTGAGATAGAGTTTCTGCCAAGTTTTTTTTTTTTTTGAAGATACTTAATGTATGCTCCTTGATAATGTTGTTTTATTTCCTATAAATTATTAATCTAATCCTGAGATCCATTTCTGCAACTTTTTCTTAAGTTTTTCGTTTATGATTTTGTTGTGGGTCCTTGTGAACTGCTGTTGATGTTATTCATTTGATATATTCCTGGAGTATTTGTACAATGATGATGTTTTTCCTTTCTTGCCATGGGTTAATTATGTCCAATTCTATATATCTTATAATTTTTCTTTGATAAGATGACATTCATTTGTCAGTTTTCAAATGACGGTTGGTTTGCTTGGATCTAATAGTGTATGTGTTTGAAAGGTCACCATCTGTGTTGGGAAATGAGATTATGAATCTCATCAGAAGATATGATACACAAGTTTGGGTCAGGGGGTAATTGTTTATGATGTTCCAAAATAGATCTCAAGCTAATAATTTGTATCCTTAGGAGTACTGTGATGGTCTTTTTTTAAAGTTTCTTTTATATATACATGACCATCCTGCAGGTTTCTGCCAACCCTGAACCAGAAGCTGCTGCTCTGAATCGAAATGATGAAAAACATGAAACACCCCAATCCTTAAGCGGAAACTTAATAAATGACGCGACAAGTTCCAAAGCTGAGGTGCAAACAAATATGCTAATTTCCAATTTTGAAGTTCCAAGACATGATATAAAAAGTGATGCCCCAAACTACAACACTGAATTTCCGAAACCTTCTGCAGCTGAGAGTGCTACGTGTCTATCAAATCAAGGTACGAAAACTAGTAATTAGTGCAATTGGTCTTTTTCATGTGTTTGCACCGAGTCATTTTGTTTTTTGGGGTTTAATCATAAATCAACTATTCCAAAAGTTCAAACTGTTAAGAGTGTGTTTGTTTGATGTTATCTTATTATATTCTTGGGCATATATGGATAGAGAATGCGTTTTTTATATTTGTTACAACTTAGAAGGTTACAAATTTTATTCCCAGACATTGAGCATTTCGAGGAAAAAAATAACTTTCATTTTTGCATGCTTTTATTCTCAAGGAAAGAGGTGGGTAAGTTGATTCCCATGACTTGGGGAATAACATTATAGATGTAAAAGAAATTATTTTTATCCTTTTAACTCCCTCAACACTCCATTTTCATAAAAGCATTTCCAACATTAACCAAATGTATTTTTTAAAAATACTTGGGAATGTCATTTCCATTATTATATTCCTTATTCTTAGGAATAAAAGTTGATAATTTGAAACAAATATCTCCTTAGATCTAACAACATGCCTCCTCATGTAAGATGCCTTTTGTGATGGAGTATCCATAATACACAGGCCCAATTGTATTATAAGAATTGGGGACAAGAATTGAAACCAGACTCCATCGTGAAAGGCTCTAATACCAGTTCATGAACCAACTATCTCTAAGTCTGAAGTTTTTAGGTGAAGACATATTTTTGGAGGTAAGGTTTCAAACTGGCTAGGACAGAAAAAATATTTACCGCCCAGATTATTGAACTGGTGAACTGAGTGAATTCAAGCAATAAAACTTGACATGAAAAAGAACTAAATTAGGGATTCCATCCTTCCTCCCCACCAGACCAATGACTAAACCTATGGGCTAATTGGACTTGCAATGATAATCATCCCTTGCGGTGCTGTTTATGCTTTGAGAATAAGTGGCTTGGTTATATAAATTTTAAGTGAAATAATAGAATGATATCAGAGCTGTCAAAACAGGTTTGCTTGATCCACTTGGTGTCAGCTGTTTTTAGCCAGCTCCAAATTGGTGTAGCTATATGTTTTGGGCCGGCCCACAAAATCTCTCTGTCTGCAACAAATCCAATTTTTACAAATTTAAACAAATGAAAGTTAAGAAATATGGATAACTTGGTTTCAAGCCAGTGACAAATGAATTTGGGAGCTAGCTCATTTGTCAATTAGGCTTCAATCCCGTGCACTTAGTTGCTAGTTTGTTTGATTTAAAAATAGATAAGATTTCACGCTATCAGGCCTACGGCCTACCTGATTCTGGGCTGGGCTAGATTGGGTTTGAATTTTATTAGTCTAGCCCTTACATTTAGTTGGTTTATTCAGGTCAGGACAAGTCCATTTTGAAAGTATTTTGCATCAACTCCTATTTGCTGCTGTGAAAAAATAATGTTACATTTGGAATAATGTCATATCCTGATTCCAGAAGCTAATCTTTTGCTTCATTTTGACTGTTTTAAAAATTAAAAGGAAGCATATAAGCATCGATGATTAGATATGATTACGACTGCAACTATATAGTGTCTCTTTTTGGCATAGATGTTATTTTGGTACTTGATGGATTTCTTTTTTTTACTTGTGTCATTGTGCATGCAACACAAGTTTATCCATGTTTTGAGTTGAAGTTTTTGGGACAATTAATGTTAAACTAAAAGGGGGTATTGTGTTTGAGGGGAAGTGGTTTTTAAGGATTTGGATAAAAAAGAAGAGATTTCTGGTAGAGTATTTTGTTTTTTTATTTTGAATTTATTCCTTGTTTCTCATCAATATAAAATGGACTATAATTCCCTACAATACGATGAATTTTCCGATGAACTGGTAGGTGCAGTGGCGGATTCCACAACTCCAACGACAAGAGAATGCGGTGGACCAGCAAAAATAATTTGAACTCGGGAGATAATGGCTGATGGTGATAACTTTGTCTGCAAGGCATTTGTACATTCCTCTTCCCAAGGTGATCATAGAGGTCAATATAACTGGTGATATAGACTAACGTCCTCAACTGGTGCGATATACAATTATCTGCTCACTGACACCCTTTGGACTGAAATTTTAATTGAACAAAACCATGATTACTTTTAGGTGTAGGTAGTAGTCATAGAAGCAGTTCTAGTTTTGAAACTACTGAGTTGTCTATTTATGTTCATTCCTGTCTTCATTTATTGCAAGGAAGGAAAATTTTGTTTTGTTGGTGCTTGGGCATCAATATTGTTTCCAAATGCATATTTGCCTATTAAAACTCCAAGGCTCTTGGAGTTATTCTATTGTTCTTTTTTCATCTTTTGGGAGCCTTGTTTTGTTATATATTTTTCCGTAGTATCAAGGAAAATATGTTTATCTATTATCAAAAATGTTATGCCATTGCTTCTATAATTGCTTCAGATGCCTACTAAAGGAATCTAATTAGGCACTATGCAGATTAAGAAGCGAAGAACCGCAAAAAAAGTGCCACTAAACTAAATTGACTATTATTGTACTACGAGTTTAACTGTTGGTGTAAATGAAAAAAAAAAGGCATGACAATGGTAATTGCACGAACACAATTTATCTGTGGGTTTACCTTTAAAGGAAACCTGAGTACATTTATTCTTTACACATTTATAGTTGGAAAATTAATCTATCACACACTTGTGCCAATAAAAGAAAAGTAGAATAAGTATGGCAATGACACTTTTCAGAAGCTTTAATTTCTCTGATTTTATATGGTGACAGATGCTGAGCTTTATGTGTTTGGCATTCAAGTACCTTCTTTATTAGTTATATTTTCGTCACTGTTATTGCCATCTTCATGGGGGTGGTTGACAAATAAAACTGAGCATTTCGTTAAACCAACCAACCACCATTTTCCCCAGAGCTTTAAGCTATGATTAGAATGATACGTGCTTCTCAGTGCCGACTCACACCTACCATTAAGTTTCTATTTAAATGTGCATGCAACTGTTTTAAAGGAAAAGCATATGCTTTTACTCATTATTTTCGGAAAGTTATAATATCTTTTTAGTTCTAATAGTTTCATTCATTTTACCTTTTAGTCTATGAAATTTAAAATAGATTTTTTAGTTCTTATATTTATATTTTTAATTTTTTAATTTCTGTCATTAATTTATTTTTTAATGTCATTTTTGTGTGAATAATGCAAATTTATTAAATATAAAGTCAATCACTTATACACTGCCAATGTAAAATTTTTTTACACTGGCAACCAATTATATCTTTTAATTGTGCCATGTTACATTTAAAAGTAAATGTGTTTATAGTCACATGACACAATTAAAAAATATAATTAGTTGTCGGTGTAAAAAAATTTTACACTGACAGTGTATAGGTGATTAACTCTTAAATTTATATGATGGTGGTGTATTTAATCTTGTGGATGGTGATGCTTTCATTTAATGATTTTAGAGGAAAAAAATGTAAAATATAAATAGTTTTGTGAAATAAACTATTAAATGAACCATCATCATCTAAAAAATTAAATAATTGTCACATCGAATTAAAAAATATATAAATATTAAAATTAAATATTTATTTTAAATTATAAGAAATAAAAGTAAAATAAGTGAAATTTTAATGATTAAAAATAAATTTTAATCATTTTCAAAATATGCATTTCTTGGGTCCACTAACTCCTTCAAACACCACATAAAACCTAATTAGAAGCACCCAATTATGAACGAAGCCGTAAGTATTTCATTAAAGGATAGTTCTAAAGTCTAAACCTGTTATCGGACACGTCGTATTATAGTTGCGTAAGCCGTAAGTATATATAACTAAAAAAAATTGTTTAAAATTTTTGAACTGAAATATAAATAAATTTTAATTAAATCATTTTTATTTAGTATCTTTAATTTAAAAATACTTTAATAGTAATAATTGAGAATATTATCTACTATAAACGTAATTAAAGATATTTTAAGAAATATAATATATATTTTCTGTAAAATTATAAAATTAAATATATTTAATAGAAAAATTTAATGTGTGAAATTAGTTTTTCTGTAAAATTATAAAATTAAATATATTTAATAGAAAAATTTAATGTGTGAAATTAGTTTGATATTTTATATTATATTATAGGAAGTATCATTTTCAGTATTAATTACGTTATCAAGAATTAAAGATTCTACACAAATCCAAACGCAAACTTCCTTCCCATAATTGTATCGAGGGTATCATGCTGAAGACATGCACCTACTCCCGCGATAGCCATTCAATAACTCAATGTTTATACTAATTGTTAACTGGGTAAGGGACGAAAAAGGATGAAAGCGGACCATTTTATTTTATATGCAATTCTTTTTATATATAAGACAAAAAAGTTTCCCTAGCGTAAAATAATGTTTTTATGAGGGAGATTCTATGTTGAGTGTAATTCTCCTTCATGCTCTCAAGTGTGAATTTAGAACTATCAAAACAGGTCACAAGCATATATGTTAACTGGGTAAGGACATGCTTAATACATGTGCTTATTATATATTTGATTTTATATATGAGTTTTAACCAAGCATATACGATTTATATGCTTAGTTATATCTTATATTATAGTTGTTAGAATTGATCGGTTGTGAGTTAACATTAGCTTTTCATTTGAAATTAAATACAATACTTACACAATTAGTATATAATTATTATATTGAATCTTGAATTGTGCATTTGAACAATTTTAAAAAAATATTTTTACAGTTGATTAATATATATATACATATATATATATATATGTGTGTGTGAATATATATAAAAAGAGGTTAAGATTTTGGTTAACTGTATTTTTGGTTATTCTCGTTGTTCTCTAGGTGCATATTTGGTTGTAGTAAATTTGATGTCACCACTTTTATTTTGTGTACTTAAAAATAAATGTGAAATATTGTTAAAATTTTGTCAAATTTAATGCATGAAACTTTACCTTTATATATTAATCAAGTATAAAGAACTATCTTTTTGAATGGATAGAACTATACCTTGTATTAAATAGTGAGTTTTACACGGTTTATGTCAAACAAATGCATTGATGGATTAGAGTTGGAAGAACCAGTTACACATAACTATCAAATATGATAATGGAGTGAAAGAGTTTTTTCAATTTGTACAAAAGAATGTTACAAATAATAATGAAATGTTTTATTGTCTTTGTGTGAATTATTTCAATTTGCAAAGGCATTTAATAGAGATTATACAAGAGCAAATTGACTAATGTTTAACTGATCTCTTTTTTGAAATTGTAGGCATTTGATAATTAAACTTCATTTATTGATGAAAAGTTGGAAGATATATATATATATATATATAGATATTTTATATTATATTATAGGAAGTATCATTTTCAGTATTAATTACGTTATCAAGAATTAAAGATTCTACACAAATCCAAACGCAAACTTCCTTCCCATAATTGTATCGAGGGTATCATGCTGAAGACATGCACCTACTCCCGCGATAGCCATTCAATAACTCAATGTTTATACTAATTGTTAACTGGGTAAGGGACGAAAAAGGATGAAAGCGGACCATTTTATTTTATATGCAATTCTTTTTATATATAAGACAAAAAAGTTTCCCTAGCGTAAAATAATGTTTTTATGAGGGAGATTCTATGTTGAGTGTAATTCTCCTTCATGCTCTCAAGTGTGAATTTAGAACTATCAAAACAGGTCACAAGCATATATGTTAACTGGGTAAGGACATGCTTAATACATGTGCTTATTATATATTTGATTTTATATATGAGTTTTAACCAAGCATATACGATTTATATGCTTAGTTATATCTTATATTATAGTTGTTAGAATTGATCGGTTGTGAGTTAACATTAGCTTTTCATTTGAAATTAAATACAATACTTACACAATTAGTATATAATTATTATATTGAATCTTGAATTGTGCATTTGAACAATTTTAAAAAAATATTTTTACAGTTGATTAATATATATATACATATATATATATATATGTGTGTGTGAATATATATAAAAAGAGGTTAAGATTTTGGTTAACTGTATTTTTGGTTATTCTCGTTGTTCTCTAGGTGCATATTTGGTTGTAGTAAATTTGATGTCACCACTTTTATTTTGTGTACTTAAAAATAAATGTGAAATATTGTTAAAATTTTGTCAAATTTAATGCATGAAACTTTACCTTTATATATTAATCAAGTATAAAGAACTATCTTTTTGAATGGATAGAACTATACCTTGTATTAAATAGTGAGTTTTACACGGTTTATGTCAAACAAATGCATTGATGGATTAGAGTTGGAAGAACCAGTTACACATAACTATCAAATATGATAATGGAGTGAAAGAGTTTTTTCAATTTGTACAAAAGAATGTTACAAATAATAATGAAATGTTTTATTGTCTTTGTGTGAATTATTTCAATTTGCAAAGGCATTTAATAGAGATTATACAAGAGCAAATTGACTAATGTTTAACTGATCTCTTTTTTGAAATTGTAGGCATTTGATAATTAAACTTCATTTATTGATGAAAAGTTGGAAGATATATATATATATATATATA